AGGTTCTGAATCAAAGACTGATTTTTCTCTTATGCACACAGACTTTTGCACTTTAAGGGCTATGATAAAATTAAATTTTTAGGTCGATGGAGATATTTGAGTGGTTTTCACGGATAAAATTTAATCCATCTTTGATTGACTTCTGTAAATAGATTTTGGCAGGTTTCGAGGCTGAACATTACTTTACACGAAAAATGTGAATTGTTTGAGATAGAGATAAAGATAAGGAAAAATTACCAGTAGAGAAGAGAATCGGTGGACTTTATTTCACGTGGATTCAAAATGATAAAAACTATCTGTCTCCTGACAAGCCCATGCAATCGGAGTTCTATTGCAAAAGTTTGTTGGAATTTTCCTGAACGTAACGGAGCCGGTAATTGCGAGCAATCGAATTTCCATGTCGCCTGGATTACGTAACTATGCGAGCACCAACCATGAATCAGACAAATCGATGCGACCCACCAAAAATTTCAGCTGACCTACATACCAGATCTGCGAATTCTTCCCTTGTCGGGACGAACAATGTTCTCGAACTTTCTACGAGTTCTGTTCTATGATGGATCACTTCCATTGAACTTTAAAGATAGTTTTGTCCATTGTTGGCCAACGTACAAAACTCCACGTAGACGCTGGTTAAACTTGGCTATAATCGCTCGCTGCAATCAAAATCAGTCCTACCTCCATTATTTATACACCAAAATTCACACTATCATCCGTCTAACATCCATAACATCGATTGTAATCAATCAAGAATGTTCTAATTGAAATTCAACGATAAAAGAAAAATTCAGACAAATGGGCAACGTGACTTTACCTAATAAATTATTTAAATTATTTAATAAATAATGAGTAGACACGGTACGAAATTTCAAAGTAAATGACTGTTACTGAAATAGTGAAGAACGTCTACTATTAAAGTTACTAGACTTACCAATACTGTATCTTTTATTAACAACTGTATTCTAGGTTTCTTGAGCTGAGAAAAAATGGCAGTCAGCGACTGAAAACGTCCTCCAAAATAATCCACTAATTGCACTTTCTTGAAATGAGATGCGTTATTGGTGTTATTAATAACCGTATCGTAGAATGAACGACTGGGTCGCAGGAATGATTGAGTTTTACTACTTCAGGCGAGACGAGGGAGCTCCGGCTGGACGAGGCGAGTTTCGAACGGGCGGTCACGCTACTTCGGCGGGTTCCGGAATTCACTATAGCCGCCGCTCTGCGACAGGAGGAGGCCAATTCCGGGACGATCGTCGCCTTTTCACATGGGAACAATAGGTAGGGATCACACGTTCAATTTCGTTTTCCACTCGCGATTCAAAGCGAATCCCTACTCGTAGCCGTGCATAAACAGAGCATGGTTTCAAATGCCTCTTGTCTTTCCTATTCCTCTCATTTACATGGGGAAGTTCAAACAATTCAAAGGGAGAAAATTTATATGCGATTTATAACTCAGTTGAATTAATGTTATCAACGCGCAACGAGTAAAAATAGTTTGGCGATTGCAACATCGCGAGGGAAGAATTTGTTGAACTTGAAACTTCTTAATCCTTAATCGGAGCGACCGAAAACACTTTCTATTTCAAGCTCAGATACGGAGAAAGAATTTGCGAAAGACTGGTTTGGAGGAACGTTGGCCAGGAATGGCTAACCTTCTGCTAACCTTTGTCTAAAAGTCGATCGGAGAAGCGATCGTTACGATCGGCGAACGAGTTAGCGAGCTCTAACAGAATCGACGAACTGAAAAAGGTAGGAAAGTTACTGTGTTACCGTTCTTAAGGAAGTTACTGTGTCAATTGTTGAGCCGGGAACGAAGGAGAACACTTAACCTCAAAGTAGCCGCACCCTCTGTTGGCACGTGAGTAGCGCAGTCTAGTCGTTTTGACCTGGCTGACACAAATTGGATACATGCAGCTACGTGTCCGCGTATTTAGACAGTAATTAACACGCTTCGTCAAGCAGAAACCACTGTCAGAGTTTAAAGCGGAATTAAACGTTGATTCGGCCGCATCTCGTGAAACGCGATCTAGGGACTTTTATTTAAACACAGATTAACCTATATCTTTAATCGATTCTTCCTCGTCGGTATTGAAATTTTAACATAATCGTAAAGATTTTTAAATCTTGGGCTTAAATCATTCGTTTAATTATCACATAATACAATTTTGTTCACTTATTGTTTCTAATTTCATTAATGAATCGCTCTGTCTTAGGATTAAATCAATATTTTCAAATATTACGATTTTAATTCCTACATGTACAATAGCTTATTCAGAGTATAATAAAAGTTAACATGATCTCACGTTTTATTGAAACACGATATGTTAGCGAACGTAGAGATGTGAAAGATAAATTAAACGTTTCCTAGAACTGGAATGTCGATTACGTTTATTGTCAACGACAGTCTACAAAATCCCGATATGTGTTTCACATTAGAGACGGTGATGGATGATAAGCGTGAAACGGAAGTTACGGCATACACATACACACGCGCGCGCGCCATCAACTCCCTTCTGATTCAATCACGTAATCTATTTAATTCCGTGTACACGTTTCAATTAAGAGGTTGAAACGGGTTTTAATCGATCTACAGACGCGGTTCGTGTACCACATTCTCTCTCTCTCTCTCTCTCTCTCTCTCTCTCTCTCTAACTGTTAAATTATCAAATCACTCGGTCCGTTAACTTCCTATTAAACAATTTCACGCGATTAGTGACAGAGATTTAATCTCATAACCTGCGGCCGAGTCCAATCGAATTACAACCATTCCCAGATTTCAACCAAAAATCCCAGGACAAGGTGAATTGAGTACTTCAACGAGTTTTGAAATGATAAATAAAATAAATAAAAGACGGCAACTAATTGAGAACTCGAGTTAGTGACATAGTGACGGGGGAAATAAGTTTCTACCAATTTGCAGGAAACTTTTATACAGAGAAGAATATTGGGATACAGGTTCGAATCGTTTAAGTTACTAGCCCACTCGACGTTCTAGTAACTTTTAACGTTACAAACAATATTTGAATATTTCGAAGATCATCATCGGATTACAAATGACTAATAAATCGAGCAACTTGGAACTCGAATGAAAATGTTTTTCCATGGATTGACAGATATTTGGAGCTGCAGAGCAGCGGCCGTAGAGACGAGCTTCGACTTCACTACGTATCGCGCCGGGACGGTAGCGTCCACGTGGAGGCGTTTCCTTTTCGTCTGGCCGACGGCGCCTGGCACAAGGTCGCCCTGAGCGTGAGCGGCTCGCAGATCGAGCTGCTCGTCGACTGTCATCTCTTGTACAGGCGGTTGCTCAGGCCCGGACCACCTGACACCAATTTCACTCTGCCGCAGCTTCAGCTTTGGGTTGGACAGAGAAATGCCAGGCACTTTCTCTTCAAGGTACGACCTCCTCTTCCTCTTAATATACTACTTCTCTCTCACACTCACATATACACACACACACACACACACATACTCCTGTGTACTGAAACGTTTTCGCGACACTTTCTATTTTTAATGCCCAGCACCAATTTCTCAATTGCTCGATCATTAATCATTAACTATTTCATCAGATGATTCTCGTGCCTTCTCAATTTTGAAACAAGTTCATCAAATTGGGACGCCCCTTATTCTTTTCTGATATTTGATAACAAGAACTTGACGGTTGCACACGGTTGTCAACTCACCCTCAACAACAACGTAATTTATAATCTCGCAAGAGTTTGAAATTTCAATCAACTGAGACAAGTTCGTACGATTGTCGCGCCGCAGGGTGCTTTGCAGGATGTGAAGCTGATAGCAGGCCCCCATGGCTACCTGTCCCAGTGTCCGCTGCTCGACTCGTTCTGTCCCACTTGCGGTCAATTTTCTATATTACAAAACACGGTGGAACAGCTGATGCGTAATCTCAACGAGCTGACGC